TTCAGACCACCAGACTCCAGGGCCCTCCTTTACGTTCAGAGGTAGTGATCTGAGGTACATTCTGAGATTTGCCAAGGGTAAAAGCATATGTCTAAGGAAAACCAAGAGAGTTGGTGTGATGCATATGTGCTCAGGACCTCTCTAAACCATCTACTCTGCAAGGCTAGGGATTATGTAGATCTGGAATAAGTGGGGCTTATTTCTTGGTGTCATTTCTGGGCTTGGCAGAGAAGCAGGATAGACATGGCTATATGTGTCACTACCTCTGAACATCACCTAAGCTCTGGAATTCTATGACCTGGATTCATATTGGGAGTAATTTCTCTCCTTTAATGATTGCAAACAAACAACAGTTTCATTATTCTTTATAAACTGCAAAATGTTATTGAAAGTGCTTCCTGATTTTCCAGCAAACAAAACTCTGGCTTGCATCTACCAATGCATCTTGAGCAAGACCCAGAATGTCATCCTCCCGCTGTACTCAGCCTTGGTGAGGCCACAGCTGAGTACTGCATCCCATTCTGGGCTTCACAGTTTAGGAAGGATGTGGAGAAGTATGAAAGAGACTAGAGGCAAGAGAAGAGACCTATGAAAGAGATCAGAAGGCAAGAGAACAGACCTTATGAAGAGAGGCTGCAAGTTATGGGACTCTTCAGCCTAGAGAAGCGCAGGCTCGGGAGTGATTTGGTGGCAGCCTATAAGTACATAACGGGTGTGGCATCAGGATCTGGGGGAACAACTGTTCACCAGAGCACCGCAGGAGATGACAAGGTCCAACAGTCACAAACTCCTGCAAGACCATTCTAGACTGGACATAAGGAAAAACTTCTTTACCTTCTGAGCCCCCAAGGCCTGGAACAAACTCCCCCCAGAGGTGGTACAAGCAGCTACTCTGGACACTTTCAAGAAACATTTGGATGTTTATCTTGCTGGGATCCTTTGCTCCTAGCTGACTTCCTGTCCCTTGGGCAGGGGGCTGGACCCAATGATCTTATGAGGTCCTTTCCATCCCTAATGTCTATGAAATCTATGAAGTCTAACCAGTGTACATCCTTATAAGCAAATTTATATTTACCATGGAACACATGGGAAATTAACCGATTGTAAGAGAATCTCTTTGTTCTGCAAGGGATTGCAATTACAGTGGTTACACACCATTGTTGGTGGCCTTTATGTCATCTGCCCTTTGTTTCCAAAGGGATCCTGGGCCAAATTCTCTCCCACACTTAGTCTCTTTGTGCCAGCAAATGTGCCCAACTGAGGATGCCCCTGGCACAAAGAAGAAGCCAGATGAACTGTAACTGGGATACCTGTCTCCATGGTGCATGAAGTCTTGCTTTTCTTCATGTATGTAGAAAGTATGTTAGGGTTTGACCAGCACTCCAGTGTGCTCCAGCAACCCACAGCTGTTTCAGTGGCTCCAAAGGAGCGGTCCTCAGGCTACAAGAAACTTCACTGGGGAGCCAGCTGGTAGAAAATCAGACTTAGGACTGCAGAGCTGCAGTTGGTTCCTTTTCATTTTTCCTCCTTCTACTCACTTGGTGTGGCTGAGATTTTGTGCCTCTGATCATAGTTTAGCACAGCCTATTGTAAGGCTGTGTGCACTTATTGTGTTCTCTCTATAATAAGTTGTGGCTTCCAGATACAAATCTATAGAGACTGCATAATAAGGAAATGTGATGTAGTGGCTTTATCAGTATGCATTTGGGATGGTTGTATTACTCACAAGTGGCAAAGCTGCCAATGAGTTATGCAGACAACTCAGGGGAATACCAATAAAACCTAAACTGCATGGTCAGGTAGTCTAATTGCACCATGCATTTTGCAAAGGGGGGAAAAATATAGAAAGATTTTAAAGAATAATTGGACGTGTTTTTCACATTTTGCACCTATAAAATGAGGCTCTCTTCAGACCATAATTCCATCCCGAAGAAGTGGAACAAATAGTAAACACATTTTTGAAACAGCCCTACAGTGACTTAAAATAGCTTTTCTGTATCTAAAAATGTGTGGTTCTTTAAAAGTATGATACCTTGTGACCTTCCAGGGGCAAAGAATGTACCATATATACAAGTACAAAACTGGGATTCTCTTCAGCCATTTAAAATTCTCATTTCTAGTCCTAGAACATCTTATGAACTCTAGCCCACATAACTGTCCCAGGACTAAATTATGTGCTTTGGTCTGGTATAATATTGGGGGAGGGGATGGAATTCCACATTAGGGAGAAAAATTGTTTCCCAGGCAGGTTCACTTTAGAAACAAAAAGTCAACTGCTTGAAATTGCTTGGAGGTTTGGGATGTTGGAAGTGCTAACTTGGGAGATGGATTAATGGGCAGCATGCCAGTGAGGCCCTGAGATTTGTGTGATCATCTACATGTATCATGTAGCTACTTCCATTGTTCACGTGGTTCTTATAGAAAAGCAGGACAGAGATAGATAGCAACTCCACCTTTAAATCAACAGTTTTGGAGAATTGTCTCCAATACTAATGTTTTCTAACATTAGAAAGTAGAAATGTTTTGAATGACTCTTCTTGGGTAACATTCCTAAAGCAAATGGATATCACGTCCATGATTCATTAATCTAGTTTTGTATGCATCCAAGGATGATTACAGCCCTTCACAAGACAAACCAGAGTTCAGTAGGTTTATATAAAGATCTCTGCTCTATGAAAGCTCACAGTTCTGTCTGCCTGTATTAGAGGATTCTTCTTTCTGTTGTGAAACTTCCATTGGTGTATAATAGGAACTACAGGACAAGATTATAATGCACATTATTGAAAAAATGCATCCCAAATTTCCTTGCTGAGCTACTTCGGAAACTCCCTCTTGTCCCTTCTGCTGATCCCAGATGGGACACAGTGAGCAGTAGTTCCCTGCCAGTATAGTTTCCTTGCCTTATTGGAAGTTGCTGTGGCTGTGAGATGAACTGACAGGCCAGTGCAGCATGTTCTCACTT